AACGAACATAATGCACAAATTACAAATGATGAACGCTACCCTTGAATGTTCACTGTGCTGCTCTGCCTCTGTCCTCTACATGTACATGCCTGTGTTCTTATTGTGGCAGTCAAATCGCTGTGGACAAAATGAAAAAAGGGTACTTTAAATAAGCGGTACGGTACATTTAATTTGCCATAACTCAAATTTACCCAATTGGAAAGATTCTTTTGTTGTTGAAAAACTAATAAAGTGTAATTTCTAAATATATCAATATTCGCAATATATTTTTAAAAAGGGGCTTTTTTTAATTTTGATTTTTTTTTTTAAATCAAAGCCATAGGAGAAATACACTGCAAGAATTGATTACTGTAGCCTCCGTGCTGCAGATCGCCAAAAATGAAATCTTACTCAGCAATGAGATGCACCGATGACTAATTTAAGATATCAATTCAACTCAAACGATGACTTTAATGTCTGGAGTGGCAAACTTCAATAATGGGGTGACAGTCTAGATGACAATTTGCAGTGGCTACAATCAATAATAATACTGTGACTTGATGGAGAGTGAACAAATTGGTGACAAAGTTTGGTGACTTGAAATAAATTGCAGCAAGTTCGTGGTGACAGGGTATGACGGTGAAACTAAATTGCTGTAATTATCTTGATGTAACTTGATGTAAATTACTTGACGTGACTGAACTTGGCGGAAATAACTGGGAGAAAATGTGGTGTAACGGTGGTTACAGAGAAGATAAAATAAAATTACTAAATGTATTCAAATCCTATGTCTGTGTACACCCTGTCCTGGGACACAACTATCCATATATCTCTTGTTATGGACACTCTTATAATTTTGACCCCGAAAACTTATTTTTTTAAAATCCATAAATGAGCCCTAATGAATTACATGAACAGCGCCCTCATTTACTGAAGAGGCGAAATGTCCTTATCACATGAAAATATTTGTGACAAAAAGTCCTAATCATATGACCTCTATCCATTATAAACTTAATAAATGGCTATATCCTTTCTTCAAATAAAGACAGGTAGTCACTTTGCTGAGCCGACAAAGTCTTTAAAAATTAATGGTAAAATAATGGTAATTTGTCTCTGAATTTTTATAGACAACTTGTCGAAATATGGCGATACAAAACGGTGGCGTGCGCAAAACGGTGCACTCTGGAGACAAGAAAAATGCACGAACACGCAAGTCGCTGCACTCGGGCAGAGCAAACAAATAAAAAAAAAATGATATTCTGGCCGCTTTAATTACTTTATTCAGGTACCTGGATGACTGGTAAGTAGTAGGCCAAACAGGGTAGACAAGCAAAGAGCACTGCAGCTAAATTAGAATCTGGATAAAACCTCAGATTTGTTACAACGAGGACAAGTCACATCCAGTACTAACTTTAATAACTATCTATTTTTGGGTGCTGTTTTGGACCAAAACACAGGATGGCTCCTGCAAGGATGGACCGCATTCTAAATTTACAATAATGTGTAATGCATGGCTCAAAGGGGCAGCCCCTTAAGTATGTATGCACGACAACTTTCTGATGACCTGAGGATGGTTGGTATGAGGCGTGCATGCAGAGCATTGAACCCAATACTGGCCCTGTACCATGGATGATTTACCCTTTGGACAAGCATTGTAGCGTGAATTTAGGTTTATGAAAGAACGACTCCGTGTTGATACTGCGCATGCTGATGCATAGATAATTAGGAACAGGACCGATCACGAAAAAGAAGTCTGTTGTTCACATGAGTCCATTTTCATATCACACCGGCTGGAAACAACTGGTTTAGAGATTTGGATTTCGCGGGCCATGGGGGTACAGGTACAAAACACTAATACGAGTCTGGAATCTACCATTGCATGAAAATGAATTAATCCTTTGCTTTGGTCAGATGGTGAGAATGAAAAGTCATGCAGTTGCTCACTTGAACATGTGGGCTGCTATACGATCTGCACTGTCCTTGACTCGTTCGAATCGGAGCCTGGTAAATTTGTACCCAGGTCCACCAGTGTGTACGTGCGTACCGCGTACCGTGTGTGTGTACTTGTGCTGTGCATGGATCATTCTATTCTTGGCGGCATGGCGGTCGTCGCGGTAAATAAAATCATATGCAAGGATCAGAAAATAAAGTAATAAATACTAGGCTTGCTTTTAAAAACATATTAAACATAGTTTCACAGGGAAAAGACAAACATTTGAAACCAAACACGTAGTGAAATACATATATTGCACGTCGAAATCCATGGAACACGGACCTCATAAGGTGACACAGTTATTCTTTACATGTAATTTCCAGAGCTTATGTTTTTCATTGAATTTTTCGGGACCCGGTTCCGACTCAGAATTGGTCCCTTTTTTTTCAGAACCGGCTCCGGCTCCAGGAAGATTAGCACCGCCCAATCCTCATGGGCGTCGCCAGGATTTTTTCTAGAGGGGGGCAAAAAGACATTTTGCCAAAAAATGCTTGTATTTCTCAACACATTCTCGATTTATCAGTTTTAGAGGGGGGCAGGGACATTTTGCCCCCCCCCCCCCCCAACTCATTAAATTTACACCACTTTGTCTTCGCGCCTCTTTTTCTTTCCTTTTTTTTTCTTTTCTTTTTCTTCCTTTTTTTTTTTTTTTTTTTTTTTGCTTTTCCAGGGGGGGGGGGCAAGTGCCCCCCCTTGCCCCCCCCCTCGCGACGCCCATGCCAATCCTAGTAGCCAGGCAGTGGCGTAGCCAGGAATTTTTCAGTGGGGGGCGCTGGGGGGGCTGGAACATTTCATGGGGGGGGGTGTCAAGCAGGGGCGTCAATTGCTTCTCCAAAGTGGGGGGGGAACATACCTTGATCACAACTGATGCAAGCGCGAAGCCCTTACGGCGTGGGGTTCGGGGCCCGCTTAAGGGCCCCGAAAAAAATTGGATTCTAGATCACTGATCTAGAATCCAACTAGCTGCCAACTAGTACGATTTTTTCGTAATTATTACGAATTGTTTGTTAAATTACGAAAATACGATTTGCCACCAAAACATTACGAATTTCCAATTTTCTACCTAACGAAAAAAAAAAGAAGGAAAGTATCGTTTTTGACCGAAAACTTCTGGCGAAATGTCGCGATAATGGATGGACTGGTGACAAGTCTAATAAGAATGCAGTCAAGCACCTGATAGACATCAATGCAGTGTGCGCAGTGGAGTACTTGAGGACCAGACTAAAACTGTTTTTCAATGGTGTGTCATTTGTGTGCATCTCATGGATGTGTGGTTGTGTGTACTGTATGTGAGTACTTTTCAGTGACGATCGTGAGCACATTTGGTCACTTATTGCCGGGATGAGACCCATCAGTTCGAGATTTTAATCATGGAATTTAATAAGAGTATGGTTGGAATAATTGGTAATAGAGTTTGAGTTTGTCACAACGGACAGAAAAGATAAATCAGCATGCGTTTGCAAGGTATGTTGGCGGGATATTTCTATTGCATACGGTGGCCATAGATCATTGTGTGTAAAACCATGATACGAACTCGAAACTAACATCGATAGCATGCATCTCCAAAAAAATATGCGCACATGTTATTGATGTTATTATTTATTTGACTTCATCAAACAAATACAGACATTAAAACAAAATTAATTTAAATTTTTTAATTTTTTTTTTATTTTTTTTTTTTTTTTTTTTTTTAATTATCTTTTGGCCTACAGTACATTATTATTCACAACAAGAAGGGTATGCACATGTATGTGTACATGTAAACCATGTACCTGTACTCGATGTTGGTAAAGCTTTTGATAAAACGAGAAGTTGAAAATGACCGCGCGGGTTGATTACTAATTGGGATTTTGAAATGTTGGCAGCTAAGATGTTCTGTGGTGTGATTTGAAGCAATTTCTTATGACTTTCCTCCATTCTTTAACTAATATTTTCTTGGCAAAACATAATTATTTGAACATCGTTTTCGAGGTTGGAGACATTGAATCAGCTATCGGTATTCTGAGCTATTGGCGTGGGGTTAAGGGCGATGCTCTGTGGTGTGATCTGAGGCAATTTCTTACCACTTTATCCAATAATTATCTTAGCACAAAAGATAATAATTTAAACATAATTTTCGAGGTTTTCTCAGCTAAAGGCATAAGAAAATTTTGTGAACATTGTTTTCGAGGTTGGAGTCATTGAATCAGCTACCAGAATTCTGAGCTATAGGCGTGGGGTTCAGGGCCCGCTTAAAAGGGCCGAAAAATTTTGGATTCTAAATGCTCTGTGGTGCTATCTGAGGCAATTTCTGACCACTTTAACCAATATTTTCTAAGCAAAAGATACATTGTAGTACATAATAGGGCCCATGGCGTCATGTAGATCAATGATAATTTTTTTAGAAACTCAAAATCTCAGTGGGGGGGGGGGGGGGGGCGACTGGGGGGGCGACAAGGTTTCATGGGGGGGCGGTCGCCCCCCACGCCCCCCCCCCCCCCCCCCGGTGGCTACGCCACTGTAGCCAGGGTTCTCATCCTCGGGGGGGGGGGGGGGGGCGCCCACAAATTTCATATGTGCTGAAAGGTAGTCAGGTTTTTTTTCACCGGACACCCGACCTCCGTAAAGTGAAAGAGTTGGGGGGGGGGGGGTGGACACCATATCATGGATAATGTTAGACAATAACTACTGCTATTAGCTTTCCACACACTCGCAGAATATGGTGGAAAAAGGGACTATATGTTCTTCCAGCAAATTGTGTTAACTCATACGGCTGTGCTTTTCTCTGGATGCCAAATTTCTAGGGAAGGGGGGGGGCAACTCGGTTCTAGTTATTTTGTTAAATTGTATGCGATCTGTGTTTGTCTGCACATATCAGAAACCCATTGTATGCACTTGGGAAACCAAAAAATTATTATTTTTATTATATATATATGTACATCCTACAATGTTCTATATATAGTAGTACTTTTTAATCTTAATGCAATTTGTAACACTGGACATTCCTGGCATCCTTGGTAAAGAAATAACCTTTTTTTTTTCAATCCAGTTGAAACATCGAAGAAGAAACTGAAGAGCTTTTTGGACCCAAAGGTTGCCCAGAATCTTGGAATCTTTCTTGCTGGGTTTAAAATGGATGCTGAAGAGCTGAAGTTCAGATTGGCTATTGTGTCAGAAAATAATGGAGGACTCGGTGCAGAACAAATAAACATGTTAAGACGGTAAGGAATATAAACTTATAACTCAGCATTCTATTCCCTGAATCAAGATCAACTATGAGTTACAAAGAGATTATTTGGCAATGCTGTTTACTTAAATTATATTTTTTGTATGTTGCTCCTTCCACTGAAGCTCTTGATCAAGTTTTACACACGCCACCTGCAACTGCGTGCTATGCCCGACAAAAGTTGTATGGAAAGCGTGCTGGTTTAAATTTGCCTGCGGTGATGGATATTATGGATGGCCGAGTGTTTTACAGTAGGTCAAGGGTTTTAACCTGCTAAAAGGATGGGAACAACCAACCGCCATCTGATAAAGCGCCTCAACTTTACGATTAAAATATATCACACATTATTATAGTCAAGCTCAGGTTCTTATTATATTTTACCCCCCTGGGTTTTAAGCCATACAGGTGGATATGGCGATCGCGTATTCCTTCGTGTGTCTGTGTGTGTGTATACAGAAAGTTCCATTTTGGTAAGGTTCACTGAAAGTACAGTCATCAATCTCAACCAAATATGTGGTAATTGCTCATGGGATCTGGTAAAGTGATTAGACTCAGGCAACAGGTCCTAGGTAGCCCGTGAGTTATGCCAATTTGTTTGTCTAGTGTCATGAAAGTTATTGTTCTGTAAGTGTAAGTTCAATCTCAACCAAGCTTGGTATGTGGTTAGTGTTCATGGTATCTGGTAAAGTCATTGCACTTAGGGAGGAGATCAAAAGGATTTTTCCCGTTCCGACGCGAGCGCCCGCGTTCCTCCCGTTCTGAACGGGGATTAACTCAACCCAACAATAGGCCCGTTCTCCCGGGGTAGAACGCCCGGCTTACCAGGCGCCCAGCGAAGTACCCGAGTTCATTAAAAGTCTCATTGTGTGCGTCCTTTGTCATGTTAATGTTCCGTTCTCCCCCGTGCACGGCCGCCAGCAACAGCAGAGGTATGTGAAATACGGCGACGTAAACACATGAAAAGAAACAAGTATTAAAGGAAATATGAGGGAAATGGGGCTGTAATATTCATCTCGATGAAACTCCATTGCCACCACGCAAAACCTTTCCACGGATTCGTTTTCTTTTTTATGAATTAAATTTTAATATGATTGTTGTTGTTTTCATTTACAGGGAAGTGAAAGTAGGATGGTGTAATTCTTCGCGGCGGATGTGTACGTCGAAACAATATTTTAGATGGCCCGATAATAAAGGCTCAAAAGAATGCAAACAAATGTGAAGAATTATTAACTTCTTTGTTGGGTAGTCGATAATTTTACTGTTGGTGCTATTGGTTTATACCTGCTCATGCATTTCAAGATTCACACCGAAAAATGGTTTTAGTTAAGAGACATCCAACGAAAAAATGCCCACCACCAATTCACGATTGTTACAATTGTATATAAATGTAGCCAGCCTCGCTGATCTGACGATAGATAACCAGTGGCCAGCTGTGCATGACATAGTTTAGCAGTGCGTCTTTCCTGAGATCAACCACGTGGTGGGGGGCATTAATTTAGTTCATGGGTTTGTTGGCATGGTGGGTCCAGCTGGGATCGTAGATTCAGGAATATTTCCTTCAGTTTTCAATTAACTTTAGGGACTAGTAAATCTGATATTAATTATTTCTTGGATTTTTCCAGAACCAAAGCCATTGATGGGGGCACACCCGGCCCCCCCCCCCCCCCCCCCCCCCTTTTCGAAACTGTTTTTTTTTTTTTTTTTACGAGTCGTCTTATGGCGGGCGGGCATTAAATACATCCCTTTGAGAACATGGCTATCTTTTTCGTTTTTGAGGAGTCATTATTATGGCGGGCGGACGGGCGGTCATCAAATCAATCGCTTTGAACATAACTATATCATACATACTTATCAACAAAAATATACAATGTATAAGTTTTGAAGGTCGCCTGCCAATTATTGTCTCAAAATTTCTTTCAAAGCAAGAATATAATTTTATAAGACACTTTCTTATTTCCCGGCTGGAATAGGGGGCACATTTAATACAGCACTTGCATTTAATGCTTCATGTCAAAATATATTCCAAAATATATTCTAGAGTAGAACATGTACCGGTACACGAAATAATGTAGGCCATGTGGGTTTTTTTTGATAAATGAAGAATAAAATCGTCATCCCCTTTTTTTTATTTTCCCGGCCTCAGAGAGAGATTTACGTCTGGTTCTCTAAACATTTTTATAAAAGCAAAATGATTTTTTCGCATAAAGTTTTCCCCTGTCTCTGAGAAAAAAAATGCCCAAATAAAATCTCAGCTCCGAAAAGCCTTTCCAGAGAATGATTGATAGCCGCATTGTTCAAATTGATACAATGCCACTCTTGTTCGTTACAAATATACATTTGGATTCAGCTGTAGGCCACCGAACTTTAAGGCCTTTGAGAACTTGCCGCCAGTAATTGGAAGATTCTTAGATGATAAACAGTGATGATAGTATCTCAGCCAATGAAATGAGCCGGTTCCCGGCAAATAAATATGCCATTGGTTGCTTTCATCACGGACCGTCTGCTTTCAAGAATATGACTTCCTTCAACGCGCAACTGGAGCGATTAGCTATCTGAGCCACAGGTGCATGGCTGCATGCCCATCACATTCCAACCTGGTTGCTTAGAAATACTGTTGCTAGGAGGCTCCCCTGGGACTGCCGGTTGCGTAGCCAGAAATCTTGTATGTGACTATTTTGAAACCTTGTATGTGAAAGCGGCAGCTCAGGAATGCTGCCGCTTTCGGGAAATTTGTGAAAATAGTAAAAATACCAAACAAAAATCGATGGAAAAAGAGATTTTCTGCAAATTAATTCACAGAACGTGATGTTCATTTTCTGTGTATGTATTTTCCATTGAAATGACGAGATTGCAAAACTCGAACCTGTGGAGAAACATCGCAGCGTGTCTCTGCAGTAGTGCAGAATTTTCGGCCACGTGGGATGGGCCGTTCACAGTGCAGCAATGCACACTGTCACTGACACTGCGCCGTGTGTACGGCGCGATGTAGGGCCGACCAGACTGAATGTTTGCGGCGCTATGCACCAGGAGCTTGTAAAGTTCAAAATTTTTCGGGGCCCTCTATGCGGGCTCCGAACCCACGCCGTGGCTTCGCAGGTTGTTGTATCACAACAAAAATTCCCCCACAGGTTTGAAAAAATCCTGGGGAGAACAGCATGGTTCTCAACTTTGAGTACAGAAGAAATTTTATTAGAACAAGAGTACATTTTAACAAATGAAGGAAAATTCTTCTTAAAATTAAAATAAATTCTGCTTCAAAATTTCAGAGGAAGTGCCCAGTAATCGCCTCAGATTGCACCACAGAGCATCTAAAATCAGAAATGTTCCGGGGCCCTTAAGCGGGCCCCGAACCCCACGCCTATCGCCACCCCGCTGCTGTATGCCAATCATAGATTATCAGTTTGGAAACTGCATCTGCTATAGCTATTTGCATAAAATTTAAATATGCATAAGGCACTTCAAAAACCCATAGTTCAATGATAATTCCATTAGCTGTCTTAGAATTTGTTTTTGGAGAATTCGTTTGCTGAGAAAAAGTTATTGGACATGTTGGAAATTGTTTTAAACCTTTGTTCCAAGCTTGTTGGTAAAAGGAAATTGTATTCTTAAATTTTATATCTTCAACGCTGTGATTAGAAAGTCCACTGTTTTTGAGAAGTCAAGTAGCCTCCACTAATTTTAATTTTGATTCCTTTGCAAAGTTAAGGGTCGGAGAGTCACCTCTGTGCTGACGCCACCTGTTGTGTTTAGGGTTCACCACTTAAAGGGAATATACAACATTTGCAAACATCGAAAAATAAAACTACCAAGTTTTTGCGAAATACCTTAATAGGATGTTGGTAAATGACAGTCTAAAGCATCCTGTAAAATTATGGCACCTGGTATACTGTCATTTTCAAGAAAAGTGGTATTTTTGTATCAATTTCCAACGCTGATCGGCCGATCAGCGTTGGAAACAACTGGCTTTTTTTCAAATACTGGCCCCAATTGACCATTGCACTTGTTTACAATCGATTACAAACCCATGAACGGGTACGAGCCAGCTAGACTGGTTCCCTGACCTTACAATTCCCCAATGTATGTTAACTGCTCTGTTTCTTCTTATATGGAGTCAGGGAACCAGACTACAGAAAAATGATCGTTTTTCTTGGTTTTTATAGCATTTTCGAACCCAAAACCTCCAAAAAGTCAGTGTAACTATATTTGCTTTATATTTCCAACCCCCCAATTCCATCCATATCTGAAAATTACAGCAAAAGCAAATGATGTATATTCCCTTTAATACGTCCCCCGCAATCAAGGAATCACTCCCTTTATTCCTGTACAAGCTGATTTACCCGATCATAGATCGGGTAGGGCGTAGTGTTGGGGATGAAAATGGGGGATATAGTTGGGGAGACATGCAGTTATAGAAAAGCAATTTATGTGGTGTGATCTGAGACAATTTCTGACCACTAAAACCAATTTGAGCAAAAGATCATCTTTTAAACTTTGGCGCTTGGAGTAATTGAATCAGCTACATGTATTCTGAGTAATGAGAATCATAATTGTAGGCTACAACATTTTTATTTGGGGAAGAAAACGGTTTTTTTTGGGGGGGGGACCAAACAATGTCCCCCGCTTGAAAAATGTGGTGGGGGGCGTTCCCCCTGTCCCCCGTCGATTTACGAACATGATAATTATGTACCATCTGACCATTGCAACTGTCTGTAAGTGTTCCCATTGGTCTGTGAAATTGGCATTTCGTGAGGCAGTCGCATTTGGAAAACGTAGTGAAAAGGTTACCGTAGTACACAGGCGAAGCCTGATTGTACAGTTTTGACAATAAATAATAATGCAATAAAACGTGAAGGTGTCATTTGAAATGAAAATGTTGAGTGTGACCATAAAATATGGAGGAAGGTCATAATTAAGTTTCAGTATTGGACTCTTCAACAAACGTTAACTTAAACTTCTTACAATTTGCGAGACCGTCTGGCGAGGAAAAAGTCGATT